TCTCCAATCGCGGCGGGCGGCGAGAGGCATCTGTGTCGTCAGCAGCAGGGTCACCCCCCTCGGCCGAGCCAGAGGTGTCTGAGGAGACCTCCAAAGGCTCAACCAAGGAGGGTGGTGTGACCTGAGACACACCTGAGGGAGCAGGCAGCGGTGGGGGGGGAGGGGGTCTACCGGGAGGTAACCTGGAACCAAGAAGAGGGGTGGGGGGGGGTGGGGGGGGGGGGGGGGGGACGGAGGAACTGCTGTGGGGGAAGAGACGGTAGTAGCAAACCGACTCGTTAAAGGTGACGTCGTGGAGGACAGGACGCGACGCATGGCTGGGTGGTAAAACTGCCAGTCAGGCGCGTCGTTGGGAAAACCAAGGAAGACGCAGCGAACAGTGCGAGGAGAGAGCTTGCCTGCAGAAAGATCGCGGACAAGGGCAAGCGAACCCCAGACCCGAAAATGCGACGCATCGCAACCTCTCCCGTCCAAAGCAGGGTAGGCGAGGTCTCTGGTTTGGAGACACGGGGCCAGAGGTTGAGCTGATGCGCAACGTATCGGACCGCAAACGGCAAAAAAAAATGGGGAGCAGCTGCATGGATCATGGAGGTGCGAGCAACCTCCATGATCAAGCCAATGCGGCGCTCAGCGATCCCATTCTGATGTGGAGAGGCCGGAAGCGTGAACGACTGGGTGATGCCCTCCTCACGACAAAAGTCCTCAAGGAGCCTGAAGGAAAACTCACCTCCATGGTCAGAGTGCAGACGGAGCACCGGGAGGTCCTAACGGAACCGTGCGCTTAGCTGGCGACGAACAACGCGGATCCAAGGGATCAAAACAACACGGACATCTCCCTTGCGCTGCAAGGGAAACACCGTGGTGTAGCGCGTGAAGTCATCGACTAGCAGCAGAAAGTAGCGCTCCCGACTCTGCCCAGAGACGGAGGCAGGGCCCCACACGTCCATGTGCAGCATCTGCAGAGGAGCAATGGTCGGAGGAAACGATGAGCATCTAGGCACACTCGAGTTTGAGTCACCCTCAGCACTAGCAGAAGCATCATACATAGCATACATGCCAGCAGAGATCTGGTCACAATCAAGAGCAAAGACATCTACGTCCTTCTTCAGCAATCCTAGCCAGTCAGGCACCTTTGTCTTCTCACCAAACTCGCGCGAAAGGCGTCGTCGAGGCGGTAGAAGCAGCGGTACTCAGTGTGCCCCAGTCGGCTGCAGGCCTCGCCGGGGCGGGGACCCGTGCGCCTGACGTACGGGCAGCGACCTCCTCTGCAAGGGCCGCCTCGCTGGGCAACCCGCTCACGCTTGTGCTGCGGCGAGAGAGTCTCATGCCGACGCGACTGCTGCTGCTGCCCACCCCTAGAGCCTCCGCCTCCACCAGCCGCACCACCAGACGCAGCTCCCTGGCCTCCACCCCCGCTAGCTCCACCTCGACCGCCACCCGAGCCCCCTCCTCCAACCCCATTGCCTCCACCACCCCCGGCACAGCCACCGCCACCGCCACCTCCACCGCCCCCAGCTTCGCCACCGCCACCACCCCCGCGCCGCCACCACCTCCACCACCTCCAACACCCCCACCACCCTTACCCTTCTAACGCCCACTCTTGTTGCGCCTCCTGCTAGGAGCGGACGCCGCACCGGCCTCCTCAACACCGAGGAAGTCAACAGCAGCAGCAGAGGCAACAGAAGGCGCGAGGTGTGAAGGGGAACACCCCTCAAAGAAGGAGGGGCGGGGAGTACCACGGGAAGCAGCGACAGCGTGGGCACTAGTCTCAGTCTCAAGAAGACGGGACTCAAACGAGGCAAGGGTAAGCTTGGTGGGGTCTAGGGAGAGGAAGTGGTCTTGAACGGTGCTAAGAGAGTCAGGGAGGCGAGTCGTGAGGAAGTAGAGAGTGAGATACATGGGGGGCTGGTTCTCAGCCAGAAAGTATGGCTTGAGAGCAGCAGGGTAGCGCGTGTCAAGGGAGCGCAGGTGAGTCACAAGGTCAGCTACAGTGCTGAAGTCTGATCGGTCAGGGAAGAGAAACGGCAGCGCAAGATGGCCTAGAGTGGCAGAATAGGGGGAGGAGTAGCGCTTGACTATAGCGTCGTAGAGCGCTTTGGCCGTCTTCAGCTGGCGAAAGTGAGGCCTCTGGTCTAGCGGGAGGTGGCTACGAACAGCAAGTTGGGCAGTGACGTCGCGCGAGAGCTACTGGGAAGAGGCAGTGCGATCAGTCTTATACTGCTGTCGCGCACTATCGGGAGCGGAAGGGCCAGGATCAGTAGGAATGGGCGGGGCCTGAAGGGATCCTGGCGTGCGATAATAAAGAGAGACCTCATTCTTGGTAACGCTCTGCAGGTACAGGTGAAGGTCCTCTAGCTAGGTAGGTAGAACGAGCAGCAGCGGCGCTCAGGCAGCAGTGACAGAAGGGCGGCAACAGCGGCTGTGCGGCAGTAGTACCTGGAGCAGCAGCAGCGGCGGCGGCAGTGTAGCAGTAGCTGTGGCAGCGGCGGTTGCAGCTTTA